GATGTGTCAAATTTAAGTGGTCATTTGGATTAGTGTTGCTTGTTAAATTTGGGGATTATTTTAGATTATGTATATTATCAAAAATATGGTTTTAATATTTTTGCAACATGATATGACATCAAGCATTATTTAAATAGGTGATTGAGTTGAATGCACTATGACATGAATATTGTGTCCTATTTTTTTTTTGGTTCCATGTCTTAGTAAGGTTAAATAATGTTAGATATATTTTCTTCCAGTATTTTAGTTTTGATTATTAACATATTTCTTATGTTTGTGTTTAATTGTACTGGAGGTTCCTAAAATATGAGATTTGTCTCATTTTAGTGCTCAATGTTTAAATTGTATCATTCTGGTCACTAAAGTATTGAATATGTTTCTATATGGTTCTTCAAGCCGATAACGTCAAAATTGCTAACGATTTTTTATTATAAATTTATCACGTAATACCTAAATATGAACAAAAAATAATTTTGATAGCTCTTAACAAAATTTGGGTGGCTCTTGATAAAAAAATGTGTAATATGAGTAGCTTTTAACCAAAATATGGATATCTCGTGATTAAAACTATATAATTTGGGTCGCTATTTAACTAAACTTTGAATAGAAATTTGGTCAAAAATTATCCAAATTATTTTTTTGTCCATATTTAAGTATCACGTGATAAGTTTATGATAAATAATCATTAGCAATCTGGACGTCATCTGCTTGAAGGACTATATAGAAATATATTCAATATTTCAGGAATTAAAATAATACAATTGAAATATTATGGACTAAAATTAAACAAACTCTATACTTTAGGGACCCTAGTGCAACTATCCTTTAAAAATATATCTAACCCTTTAATAGTTTATATCAATCAGTGAAATTTCTTTATTTATATTTTTGTCCACCTTAAAGTGAAATGTTGGCTCCTCCACTGTGTGTGTGTGCGTGTGAGAGAGAGAGAGAGGACAATATTGGCCAATCTAGAGCCGGTCTACTTTCTAATACAAAGGCACAAACCTTGGTGTTCCAAATCCACAAGGAGAGATGGAAGGTGACCTAACACCATATGTCTGTTAATTGCAATTTGCAAGTGTGGTTTCTTACCTGGAAAATTTTACTATAGGGGTAACCCACCACCATGTTTACCTACAATTTGGTTTACCCAAAAACAGAAAACACCTACAATTTGGTTTATAACCTGCCATGTTTCCATGGATTTGTTTATTATTTGAACCTTTCGCAATTGAAATAATCAAATTAACCAATCAAAATCTGTTTGGTATTTCTCTTTCTTCTTGTTTTGGTTTTTGATTACCCAAATACATGGGGAATAAGATAAACAAGTATTGTTGGTATCTTCAAGTTCGGATGATCAAGGTGGTTAACTGTTATAAGAATCATTTCTTACTTACCCGTTTGTCATAGAATCCAATGAAAGAACCTGAGTTTATTTTAATATCTCTAGGTTTTAAGTCTCTGTCCCTAGGTTTTAAGTCTTTGTCCCGGCTCCTTTGATGAATGTGATTTTATTGCATATACTAAAATAATAATTTGCTCATTCTCGAACCATTCCCAGTGTCTATCAACATTGAGATCCAACTAAATATGATCTGAGTTTATCTAAAGTAAACACTGGAGTAAAAGATCTATTTAAACAAAATGAATCCCACTTAAATTTTTTCATCCAATATTGTATCAATTGTAATAATTGGGAATGAAACTTGATCCCAATTAAAGCCACTAAAAATTACCAATTACCACCCCTTAAGTGGACTTCATATATTTGTTTTTGGTATTATGGTCAAAGGTGTTCGGACTATATTACGCGCATCTCGATTAATTCTCTTTCTGATCCAGTCAATAGTAGTCTACTGATGTTGAGACTAGAAAATTCATGAGGAATATATATCTCATGATCTAAGAGAGTTGACAAATTTCAAACTCAAATAACTTATCCATTATTTTCACTTGAGTTATCTTGAGGTAGGACTTCATAATAATTGTGAAAGTAGATTGTGGTGAGAATAAGATTCACACAATTTTGAGTTGAGAATTGGGTGGTTAGAATAAGATTCATATATCTTGTTGGTGAGTCAAGGAGGAATAAGAAGCCCAAACTACAAGTAGCAATTATCAGCCC